ATAGTTGATATCTTTCCCACTACATATTTTGTGGAGGGTTCACTTCAAAGTTGAGGTCATATACATCAAACTTCACAAAAGAAAGAGTGGAAGAAGAATACTCAAACCCACACATCAAGCTAAAGAAGTAATAAAAAAATCTTCAGTATCAAAGGGGAAAAGATGAGAGAGAATGGTAGAGCGAGAGAGTGGGTTTCATGCACGGGACACAGGACGTGGCATCGGCGGACAGCACTGGGTAGTGAGAAGACCAGACTCCAAGAGGGAGGTAGGCAGTGGAAAGGGGAAGAGTCAGGGCACTGTAGCTGGAATGGGTATCAGAATAAACACGGAGGGGGGGGGGGTATGACAGTGGATAGTTGAAAGGGGGGAACTGGAGTAGGAACAGGCAGTGGGGGTATGACAGAGGGCTGTATAAGCAAGCTATAGCTTTCTTTTTTACAAACATGCCGGAGGATTGGAGCTACACTGAAATGTGGAGAACGTTTGGCAAGTTTGGAAGGATATTTGATATATATAGCCCGCAAAGGAGAAGCAAGAACGGAAGGAGATTTGGTTTTGTCAGGTTCCTTAATGTAAGGAATACCAGGGAGCTTGAAAACCAGCTTGATAAAATAAAGGTGGCAGGGCATAAATTATGGGTAAACCGGGCCAAATACCCAGAGGAGAAAGTTAAAGAGGAGACGGTAAAGATTCTTCCCATCAAAAGAAATTGTTCAGGGAAAGACATATGCTAATGCTGTGCGAGGTCAAGAAAGTTGCGATGCTGGAAAAAGCGGAGAGAAGGGTCCTGAAAGACTCTTGAAGTCTGAAGAAGGTATAATCAGAGCCCGTGAAAAGCAAAAGCAGTTGAAGAACGAACTTGTTTGGAAACAGAAAAACAAAGGAGAGGTGTGGTCGGGTCTAGAGTTTAAGGTGAAAGAAGATGACCTGCAGTGGTTGCAAGGAAGCTATGTGGGAGTTGCACACTCAGTGGAGATTGTACCCAATTTACAAGAGAAGTTCTACATGGAAGGGTACTTCTCATGTAGATTAAGAGCCATGGGGGGAAAATTGGTCCTTTTGGACAGTGAGGATAAAGAAGAAATTAAGGATTTAGTGGAGGGAGCCTCAGAATGGCTTGGGCAATGGTTTTCAGAGGTGAAACCGTGGTCACCTACAATGGTAGAAAAAGAAAGGTTTGTTTGAATGAGGTGCCAGGGAGCTCCTTTACATGCTTGGAGCCCAGAATTCTTTGAAGAGTTGGCATTAGCTTGGGGGAAATGTATTTGCTTGGATGATAGCACAAGCAAAAAGAGAAGGTTCGATGTCGCAAGATTTATATTATCAACATCAATAATGGATTCTATCTCCGTCCATCGGAAAGTTAAAGTCAATGGGGATATATTTGAGTTGAAGTTTTCAGAAGAGGAATTGACAAATAGCCTCTTCTCATTGAAGTATGATTTCAGGCCATCTTTTAATAGCGACTTAGAGTTGGATGAGTCTTGGTCAGGTGCCTCGGAGTATTCAGAAGGTGTTGATGAAGATAGCGGGGAAGCTAAAATCGGAGATGGCGCCGGCGAGGATAGTCCAAACAAAGTATCAATGCCGAGCAAGGAGAGAGGGAGTAGGTTGGCTGTCACTTCAAACTCAAAGGCAAAATTTGAATTCGAAGGGAAGAGTAATGATGAGGGTTGGTCAGAAAAGAAGGCTAGGCTCTCAAATAGCAGAGTAGGGGAGGAGGAGTCCGTTGATGTGGTTGCAGATAGCTTTGAAATGGATATGGAAAAGGATGACGCAGGGGAGAGAGCCGTTTTGGGAATGGGTGCATCTGGACGTAAGGAGAAGGCGCTCTCAAATTCAAATCCTGCAGCAAGTTTGGGAAGTGTTGGGCTGGGCATGCAGCCCAATAGTGACCCATTAGATGGATTTGCTACCATTCGAAAAAGGGCCGGTGAAGGTCTGCCAAAAGATTATTGGACCGATGAAAGATTAATAGGCAGGCCACAATCGGGGATTGAAGTAAGGCCCGAAGAGGGTGCCAAAAAGAAGAAGTCACGGGAATCTGCAGAAAAAGACACGTTTAGTCTAAAGAATGACAGCTCCTGTAGTAGTGAAAGGGAGAGATCTGAAGGACGCAGGGAAAAGGAATCGTGCGCAGCTCAGAAAAATGACAAGAAAAACAGTAAGAAAAGGAGCAAATCATGCACCTCGGTCTACCAAAAATCAATTCTTGTTGGATTTATGAAGCAGAAGAAGAAAAGCAGGGGCAGATGTGGGGCGAAGCAAGCAAAAGAAGAAGAAGTGCCGGTGTTCTTGCCAAGTACAAGCAACTCAATAGCGGGTGGATCCGTAGGAGATAGCGGTATTCAGAATTGTAATAGACTGCTCATGGAACTCCCCAACAAGCGGATTGCTACGGACATATGGGAGTTTGCGAAGAAGATTGGGGCAGTGGCAGAGGATGAAGATTAGGTCATCAAGAAACTCGAGGAGATGGAGAAGAGAGATAGATCGGCAAAGGAGAAAGAAAGCTTAAAAGGGTCGAGTAAGGATCAGAAGGTGAGTGCTGCAATTAAATGAATATATTTTCATATAATGTTAGAGGATTGAGGGGTGCGGGGAAGAAGAGAATGGTTAGAGATTTAGTAATTGGAGAAGGTGTGGACTTCCTAGCTATCCAGGAAACTAAGAAGGGTGGAATAGATAGGAAATTATGTAGATTGTTGTGGGGATCTGAGGAGTTCGACTGGGTGGCTAAGGATTCCGCAGGACTGTTGGGAGGTATGGTCTGTGTATGGAATTCTAAAACACTCAGATTGGTGAAAGTTTGGGAGGGTGAGAACTTCATTGGGATTCAAGGGAGGTGGGTAGCAGAGGATGTTTGTGTTAATATCATCAATATTTACTCTCCATGTCAATTAGCGGGAAAGAGAAGCTTATGGGGGGAATTGAAAGATTTAGTTCTGCAGACAAGAGGGCTATGGTGTCTTGTGGGTGATTTTAACACGGTAAAAAATGTAGAGGAGAAAGTTGGAAGCCAAGCAGTAACTACTGAGATGAGGGACTTCAATAATTTCATTATGGAAGCAGAACTGATAGATATACCATTAGTGGGCAGAAAATTCACATGGTATCAACCGTGTGGCAAATTGATGAGCAGAATAAACAGGTTCCTATTGTCCGAAGAGTGGTTGAATAAGTGGGGTGAGGCAACTCAGTGGGGTCTAACCAGAACTGTATCTGACCACTGCCCAATCCTTCTTAGACATAAGAAAGTAAATTGGGGACCTAAGCCATTCAGATTCTTTGATACCTGGCTAGAGCAAGAAGGGTGTCAAGAGGTGATAAGAGAAGCATGGAGAGGGAAAAAAATTAATGGGTGGGCCGAATTTCGCCTCAAAGAGAAACTCAAAATCACCAAAAAGGCGTTGAAGGCATGGAGCAGAAATTTTGTCCTAGAAATAGAAAGAAGAATAAGAGAAGCTACGGCAGAGATCTTGCAGCTAGATGTGAAAGGAGAGACGACTCAGCTATCTGAGGAAGAGATTGAGACAAGAAGACATGCATTCTTGTCTTTGTGGGATAGCATCAGACACAAAGAGAGTATGCTGCAACAAAAATCCAGGAAAGTATGGCTAGCGAAGGGTGACGCAAACACGAAATTTTTCCACAATTGTGTAAAGGGGAGATGGAAGAGGATGAAATGAACAGCGTCCATGTAAAGGGAGTGCAGATTACAGAGGCTGATAAACTGAAAGAAGAAATTGCCACTTTTTTGAGGATATATTCACGGAGGAGAAGTGGATGAGGCCATCTATAGAAGGAACAGAATTCAAAAAAATCTCCTCGACAGATAATGTCTTTCTCACTGCACCTTTCTCCGAAGAAGAGATAAAGTCAGTTGTTTGGGATTGCGAAAGCTCAAAAGCACCGGGTCCGAATGGCTTCAATTTTAAATTCATCAAGAGCGAATGGGAGACAATCAAAGGGGATGTGATTGAATTTCTTCATGAATTTCAGAAGAATGGCAAGTTGGTGAAGGGTCTAAATACGTCATTCATAGTTCTTGTGCCAAAAGTAGAAAACCCACAAAAAATTGAAGAGTATAGACCAATCTCGCTGATCGGGGGTATATACAAAATCCTTGCAAAATTGCTTGCTAACAGACTCAAGAAGGTGCTGGTTGGAATAGTCGGTGAACAACAAATGGCATTTTTAAACGGTCGGCAACTAATGGACGGGGTTGTAATAGCAAATGAGGTCATTGATGAAGTAAAAAAGAAGAAGAAGGAAGCGTTTTTATTGAAGATTGATTTTGAGAAAGCATATGACAAAGTGAGCTGGAGTTTTCTTGATTTTATGCTGCAAAGAATGGGTTTCTCAAATATGTGGAGAAAATGGATTATGGAGTGCCTAAGCTCAAGTATGGTGTCGGTTTTGGTCAATGGCAGCCCGACCAGACAATTCTCTATAACCAGAGGTCTTCGTCAAGGGGACCCATTATCCCTATTCTTATTTCTGATTATTGCAGAAGGGATTAATGGGCTGGTTGTGAAAGCAGTGGAGAAAGGCTTTCTTGAAGGTGTAGAAGTGGGAAATAAAGGCTTCAAGGTCACACATCTCCAATACGCAAATGACACATTGCTGTTCGGCAAAGCTATTGATGAAAATGTATGGGCTTTGAAGAGCATCTTGAGATCATTCGAACTGGTATCGGGACTGAAGATAAATTTCAACAAAAGTCAGCTTATTGGCATCGGAGCAAAGGAAGAGTGGTTAGAAAAAATGGCATGGGTTTTGTGCTGCAAAAAAGGGTGCTTGCCTTTTAAGTATCTGGGGATACCAATTGGGGGGAGGTGTGGTAAGCTCTCATTCTGGAAACCAGTTCTGGAGGGTGTGACCAACAAACTATCCTCATGGAAAGGGAGATATTTATCTCTAGGAGGAAGGATTACTCTCATAAACTCAGTGTTGTCTAGTCTACCCGTGTTCTGGATGTCCGTGTACATGATCCCAAAAGGCACAATTCTCTTTATTGATAAAATCAGTAGGAGATTTTTGTGGGGAGGTGTGGAGGGAGGAAAGAAAATAAATTGGGTTAGATGGGACAAGGTATGTAGGGACAAAGATCAAGGGGGTTTAGGTGTGAAGGATTTAAGGAAGTTTAATTTAGCATTGCTTGGGAGGTGGTGGGGGAGATTGGTTAACGAGGAAGATGGGCTTTGGAAGAAAGTTATTTTGCAGAAATATGGTAGGGACGGGGAACCAAGTTATAATTGGTTAAGGGATAGTAGCGGTTTTGGGTCAAGATGGTGGAGGGATATATGTAGGTTGAATGTCATAGATCAGGAGCATGAGGGTTGGTTAGCAAAGGGGCTGAATATTAAAATAGGAGAAGGGGATAGTGTGAAATTCTGGTGGGACGATTGGGGTGGGAGAGGTATATTGGCTAACAAATACCCAAGATTGTACTTAATCTCTGCAGGTAAAGACAATATGGTTTCACAGATGGGACGATGGTCCAATGGCAGCTGGATATGGGAACTGCAATGGCGGAGAAGGTTATTTAGCTGGGAAGCCCAAGAAGAAGCAGAGATCATGAAGGAAATTCAGGAAACAACTATCAGGATAGGAAAAACTGATGTTTGGGAGTGGGTTCATAGTAACAATGGGGTTTACACAACAAAATCTGCTTACAAGGCTCTTAAAATGGAGGTCGAGCAAGAACAACAAGGAGTTAACCTCCAAAAAGTATGGAACGCAATGGTGCCAAGTAAGGTTTCTGCATTTTCATGGCAACTTCTTCAGGATAAAATCCCCACAAAGGCAAATCTCTTCAAAAGAGGTATAATTTAAAACCTGGAGGAGTGCAAATGCGAATTCTGCAGGTACCAAATGGAGGAAACCAGCCATTTATTCACGCAATGTAAAGTGGCATATGATCTGTGGAATGCTTGCTTCAGGTGGTGGGGAATTAGTACTGTGCTGGACAGAGAAGGGAGTAAAGTATTCCAACAACATACTTCGGCTCTCAGAGTGGCAGAAATAAGAGAGGGCTGGAGGTGCATATGGTTTGTAGTAATGTGGACAATGTGGTTGGCAAGGAATGATAGCATTTTTAAAGGAAAAGAAGCTGACAAGAGCAGGCTGCTTGAACTGGTTCAGCTAAGATCCTTCAGCTGGATAAAAAGCAGGAAGAAATGCTGTCTATTTTCATGGCCTGATTGGGTGCAGGACCCGGTGTCCTGCTTAAAAGACGCTGCTGCAAGGAAAAGGAAAATCAGAGAGGTAATAACAGGGTGAGCAATGGACTCCTTGGGAAGTGGAACTCGTTTATATCGATGGGCATATGCTTTTTGGGGGAATTTGTTGCTGGCTAAGCACATTCCCCTCTGTAAAAGGTTTGGAGTACACCCAGTACTCCTATAATGAAAATTATATTTGCTTTTCAAAAAAAAAAGCTAAAGAAGTAATAGTTTACATAGTAGTTCTGGTTTTCAAAAGCTAGACTAAACCCAAACGATATCCCGCAAGCTTGCAATAGAGCACTTGGATCTCATCCATTTCTTCAATTTTCTTTAACAGCCCAAAGTCAAGACCGGAAACATGAAATCTTTACCAAACAACAAAACTAAATTTATTACAACAGAGGCGCACTCCATATGATAAGTAGAAGTATATATCTTTACTTCTGCTATTACAACTGATGCATGCTACCGCCTTCCTGAACTTGCATCTTCCTGTAAGTTGGTTCTTCGGCTTCGTTTTCTAAAGAGATGAATGAGGCTAAATTTAAATGGTACGTAAAGAAAGAGAAGAAAAATGCTAAGTGCCATTACAACATAGATAAAACCGAATAAAGATACGTTAGGAGAAATGGTGCCTAGAAAGGTAAGGTAAGTAAAAAGCAAGAAGAAAAGGGAAATCATTGTCAGAGGTGGTGCCATCCTTGTATCCTGGCGAAAAGGGATGAGGACGATCGAGGCAGCAAAGGCAAGCGTATTGCACAGCATGAAACCATAGAATCTTGAAGCTGGGCACGATTTTAACCCCAAAAGATCCCCCGCGTGTCGGTAATTTAGAGTAGTAATAATGCATTTGTTATCAAGATGGACTCCATTTTCCCAGATGGTTGAGGGAGGATTCAATCCGGCTTGGAACGTTGCCGCTGCTATCATTGTGGCCATAACGGGTAGCAAGTCTTTATCCTGTAAGTACATACTCCAACTCTCCTTACAGATATCTGAAAGAATGTTCTTTTTTTCTTGGTGTTTTAAGAGAGCTAACACCTGCAATGGTGTCACATTTTTTATGTAAGCTGCAATATTAGTAGTGTTGCTTAAATTAATTTCCTTTCATGTCAGAAAATTGTACAAAAATATATCTAAATGAAAAGTATTAGAAAACCTATATTTTAGAGAGTGCTTAATTTATGATTGAAAAACCACATCTATAACTTATAATGGTAGTACGGTAAAAGAATATGGCTAATTTTTTTAATTAAAATCGGCATGTAAACTAAACAAAATCTAAAATCATCACCATAATTCTTCAATTTACTCCTATCATTCTTCGAATTCAATATGGCAATATCTAAAAAATGGAAAAATAATTTCACTGAAGAAATTAATAATTGAATTAGTAAAGAGAACTGCAGCAATGGATATTGTACCTGAAGTTGATTTGTGGCAATTGCAATCTCAAGGACTGTTTTACCTTCATTATCTTTTGCATTTACTCGCCTATCATGACCCACTAGCCTTTCTGATGCTTCAAACAGGACTTTGAAAGCTTTAAATTGACTATTCTTCACTGCCAAGTGTAAAACAGTTTCACCTAGTAGAGTCACTTGCTCCATGGCTTTTTTATGAGAACAATGTGATAGCAGGTCATCTATGATATCGACCCTCCCTTTGATGGCTGCAAGATGGAGTGCCGTTCTTCCTGCTTTGTCCTTCAACAAACACAGATCGGAATTCAACAAACACAGGTAGGAATTGGCCTTGTTCAAAAGCTCCTTCACTACTTCTAAGTGTCCTGCAGCCGTTGCCAGGTGAATTGGGGCAAAGCCATCTTTGTTAAGCTCCTGCGCAAATGAAGGCACCACTTCCATGATCTTTCTCACAAAATCAACATGGCCGGCAAGTGAAGCAACATGAAGTGGTGTTTCTGCTCTAGATGACAAAGACACTCTCCAGAGAACAAGTGGATCCTCTTTTAACAAATCATCTAATGCTACAACATCTCCCACTATTGCAGCCTCCAACAATCTTTCATCCATGATTATCAAAGAAAAACCCATAATTAGGCTTAGGCTCTAGGCAAAATATGATCAAAAGGAGTGCTTGTGAAGAATGTATGGCTTCTGTTTTCACAGCGGCTAGTCTTTATATAACACTAACCCGGCTTTTTTTAATCCATCTCTCCTTGTGAAGTCTTCGTCTTCTTCTTTTATTTTTTTTTTTTCCCTTGTTAAATCCTTTAAAGCTTCACCCTTCATATTCATCAATCAATTCCAGTTTCAGGACAACATCAAAATTAAATGTTTCCTACAGGATGGAATTGCGCAGCTACGATTGCGCGACGTGTCCTTTTGCTCTATTAACTCTTGTTGTACGTGTTCTCCTGATATTTGTCGCCCTCAATCCTCGCATACCTACATGTCAAGACCTCTACTGGAAACTGCTGGTCAAATTTAGGTACAGTTCAGTTTCTACACGATAGTATTTGCAAATTTGTTAGAAGCTACGTTACCAAATTTGTTGAAACAAATTCCACAC